CCGCGTCCCCGCCTTCCCGCGCGCTCTTCCCGGCCGCGGCCTTTGTGGGGCGCACGTGCCGTAGCCGCTCTCTCCCGCAGGATCGCCGCGATGGCCGCCCAGGGAGAGCCGCAGGTCCAGTTCAAGGTGCGTGCGTGGACGACCGGGGCCGTCGGGTGGGCTGGCGGGCGGGCGAGAGGGGAGGTCGGGAGGACAGCATGGCGGGAGGGAAGCGGGGCCGCTCACGCTGCCTCCTCCTTAGCTCGTCCTGGTGGGCGACGGCGGCACCGGGAAGACGACGTTTGTGAAGCGCCACTTAACGGGCGAGTTCGAGAAGAAGTATGTAGGTAGGTGCGGCGGGGCTGCGCGACTGCGGGCGGGGAAGTCGGCGGCCGTGCGTGGCTGACCCTGCCGCCCTCTTCCCGCAGCCACCCTGGGCGTGGAGGTGCACCCGCTCGTCTTCCATACCAATAGAGGACCCATCAAGTTCAACGTGTGGGACACAGCCGGCCAGGAGAAGTTCGGGGGCCTGCGCGATGGCTACTACATCCAAGGTGAGGGCCTGCGGAAGTGGGCCTGGCCCTCGGACATGTGCCTGGGGTGAGCCCAGGAGCCAGCCGTTGCCCGGTGACTAAGAAGGGAGGGAGATGCGAGACGGAGACGCATCGCTTCCAGGGAGGCGACCTCGTTTGCGTGGCTAGGAGAGGGTTTTTAGACGAGCCGTCCGTGGTGTCATTCGATCACATGCTGTGTCATGCTAGGCATGCTTTAGGGCAGACTGTGTGTCCTTACAGTTGAATAGGAGGCAGGGAAGCTGTAGGATCACTTTCTGGTTTCGAAACGTCTTTTGGGGTATATGTTCTGTGGTTATCCTTGAGTATTCCCGTCACGGGGGAGGGGGAAGATAGCACTTGGGCTAGTTAGTAAAACTCAACCTCCAGCCCCAGGGTCCAGGCCCTCTCACACGTGAGCGACAAGCTATGTTGTGTAAATTGTACTTTTATTTTTCTCCTTGAAAGTGATTGGAAAATTTTAAGGAGGGGGGTGTCAGATGGTTAAAGACAAATGAATGAAAAAAGTATTCTTGTGGACTTACTAGCCCGTTGGAAAAAACAATTTGGAAGTTCTTTGGTTTCTTACTGTGTTTTAGCATGTAAAGATACAAGGGTGTTTATCCCTGAATTGAAACTTTTTTTTATTCTTTTGAGTTCAAACTTTCTAGCCAGAAAATTGGACCGTGCTTTTGCTGCCCTTTTTTAGTTTATTGTGACAGGATTTCTCTCTGTAGCTTTGGAGCCTGTGCTGGAACTCACTCTGTAGATCAGTCTGACCTCAAACTCACAGAGCTCCACCTGTCTGCTGGGATTAAAGGCCTGTGCCACCACCACCACCTGGCTTTTGCTGCTTCTTCAACTGTATCCTCAGCATCCCTATAGGTCAGGCAATAGCACTGGCCTCAGATTTTCTTAAAGTTATAACACTCATTTAGCCATTTAAAGATTCCATTTCTAGGTGGCAGAGTGTTTTGCTCGCTATAAAGGAGATACGTCTTCTAGAATGCTGATGTACTATTTTACTTTGGACCAACTTGGAGGGTGGGGGTGATGATTAGCTGTCCAAAGGGAGAGAAAGGAAAAGGTAGCTGGAGTAGTAGTAGGTCTTGACATTTGAGCTTTCATATTTAGAGGAATCGGAATCAGGGCCTTGAATTGCATCTAACTTTTTTAGTATTGAGGGAGAGACCTTCTGAAAGAGTGGGTTGATTGTGAGAGTCAGGCCTAAGATGATGAATGCCTCAATAGACTAAGAAACATTTCAATCCCTTGAATGTCTTTCAGCCCAGTGTGCCATTATAATGTTCGATGTAACATCAAGAGTTACTTACAAGAATGTACCTAACTGGCATAGAGATCTGGTCCGGGTGTGTGAAAACATCCCCATTGTATTGTGTGGCAACAAAGTGGATATTAAGGACAGAAAAGTGAAGGCAAAATCTATTGTTTTCCACCGAAAGAAGAACCTTCAGGTATGTTCATAATTTATTGAATCTTTTCTCTTTTTTCTTTTTTGGTTTTTGAAACAAGGTTTCTCTGTAGCTTTGGAGCCTGTTCTGGAACTCACTCAGTAGACCAGGCTGGCCTCAAACTCACAGGTCTACCTACCTCTGCTTCCTGAGTACTGGGATTAAAGGCGTGCGCCACCACGCCTTTGGGGATATTGAATCATTCTTAGAGAATATTATATATATGTAAGGCACACATGTCACGTAGGACCAATGTATGTTTTATATGTAAATTATTACAAAATGTCCTTGAGTTTAAAGTGTCTTGAAATGGTGATCACTAACAGAAGTTTTTAAACATAAATTTCCTTTTGTTATAAACAGTACTATGACATTTCTGCCAAAAGTAACTACAACTTTGAAAAGCCTTTCCTCTGGCTTGCAAGAAAGCTCATTGGAGACCCTAATTTGGAGTTTGTTGCCATGCCTGCGCTTGCCCCACCTGAAGTGGTCATGGACCCGGCTTTGGCAGCACAGTACGAGCATGATTTAGAGGTATTTGTCCTTTTAATTTTTTTCTGGTGTGGATGGATGGGTGTGTGTTTGCGCTTTGCCTGATGCCTGCAGAGGTCAGAAGCTGACATTGGATCCTCCCAGCCATGTAGATACTTGGAATCAAGAGCTGGCAGTGCTCTTGACTGCAGAGCCATCTTCCAGCCCCCTTTATCCTTACAATTAGTGCTTATGTTTGACTTGGTCGTGGCAGTTTTGATCTTAAGTGTTTCCTTTTTGTTTCTTGTTCCAGGTTGCTCAAACGACTGCCCTCCCGGATGAGGATGATGACCTGTGAGAAAGTGAAGCTGGAGCCCTGCGTCAGAAGTCTAGTTTTATAGGCAACTGTCCTGTGATGTCAGCGGTGCAGCGTGTGTGCCACCTTATTTAGCTATCAGATCGTGTACTTCATTGGATGCTGAAGGAGATGAATGGGCTTTGGAGTGAATGTGGCAGTTAAAACATACCTTTTTTTTAACCTACCTTCATTTTTTTGGACTTGCATATTTAGCTGTTTGGAACACAGTTGTTTCCTGAATTTCAAAAATAAGACTGCTACAGTCACATCGCACTATTCAGTCAGTGGTAAAATCTTGTTCCTGTCATTCCCATTCTTTTTGTTTAGAATCAGAATAAAGTTGTATTTCAAATAATCTAAACAAGTGAATCATCCCTTGTTTATAAGCATTTTAAAGCCAATATAAGGAAACTTGTGCCATATTACACTTAAAAATGCCTTTGCTTAGTACCTCTGAGGCTCATTCAGGTATGTTCCTGTGCCTACCTTCACAAACATTTGGATCGAGTCATGACCTAACGCTTGTCTTACAGGTATAAATACTGTGATTCAGCTAGGATATCTGCCCTACCTGCATTTTGCTAGGTAGTTTCACCTAAGAGAATAACTTGTTTAAAGTTGTATATGTGTGAGTCGGATGTTTTAGTGTAGGGGGCTATAGTCGACAGTGTCTGTAACCTAGACCTTCAGAAGTTAGAACTGCCTTTGATGGAAGCTTGAGGATTTTCTGACATGTGTATTTCTTGGTTTCCCTGTCTAACATTGGTTCTCTAAAATGTTCTTGACTTTTGAGTGGTGGTCTCAGCCAGCACTCAGGAGGCAGAGGCAGGAGGGTCCGAGTTCAAGGCCAACCTAGTCTACCGAGCAAGTTCCAGAACTGCCTAGAGAGACCTGTCTCAAAAGAAGTGTTCATGGTAGGTAGGCTGTGGCCCAGCATCTGATTCCCAGAGATTGTTTATAAGCAGCCCAGGAAAGGAAAAGCTAGAATACTGCTATTGATTTGGCTGGGCATCTGATGTGAAACTGTTAACTGAGCCCTTTTCTTGTTAGGTGTGATCCTGTCAGAGCTATGTTATGATAACATGTATTTAAAGGAATCCTTGTGTGGGTCTTGCTAGTCCAATCTACCAAAGTTATTTTGATCCCTTCCCCCATCCCTAAGACAAGGTTTCTCTGAACATTCTGAGCTGTCCTGGAACTCACTTTGTAGACTAGGTTAACCTTGAACTCAGAGAGATCAGCCTGCCTCTGCCTCCAAAGTGCTGGGATTAAAGGCCACCACTGCCCAGCTCTACTACCAAAGTTCTTAAAAGTGTGGACTGCTTCAGATGGCTACTTTATCTTTAAAGAAGGTTGAGTAACAAAATGAAGAGGCTGAAAGGAAGTTGTGCTGTGCATCAGCTTTTACTGATTTCAAGATGCTACTTGATGTATATGCTATGCTAAAATCAGGTGAAGACCCTCTCCCCTGACTGGGATGAAACTTCATTTAGATCTCTTAAATTAATACACTGTATGTAAACCTGATGTAGAATGCAAATACCTTATGACTCTGATTTTTGTAACAGTTAAACTTGAGAACTACTTCATGTGTATTTAACCAGAGTGTAGAGGATTTACATTACTTATTGAAAGAACTTGAAAATATATATTGCTTCTGCTTTGCCTAGTTTTCTGAGTCATCTCTGGTATTTGCTGTAGGAGTAAGTAGTGAATGGCTTTTTCCTTCCTTTTTTTCCTTTTTTTTTTGGATTTGAGATTTGATCTGCCAAATAGCAGAGATCTTATTTTATCCAGTTCTTTTTTGTTTTTTGCTTTTCCAGATAGGGTTTCTCTATAGTCCTGACTGTCCTGGAACTCTCGACTAGGCTGGCTTCAACAAGTCTGCCTGTGAGTTCTGACTTTAAAGTGCTATTCAGTTTTTATATGTGGAGAAAGTGCTCCCCCATTTTGTAAAAGCATCCCTGAATAGATGGCTGTATATTAATCAGTTAGTGTTCAGCAGATAGAGCTGGCTGAAGCAAAGTCGCTGAGAAGAAGCTGAAAAGTGAAAAGTCGGGTATTTAAGAAACGGGGTTTTTTGTTTGACTTTTTAAGGTTTATTTATTGCATGTGCAGTGTTCTGGGTGTATGTATCCTGCAGGCTAGAAGAAAGTGCCAGATCTTACTATAAATGGTTGTGTTGCTGGGAATTGAACTCGGGACCTCTGGAGGAGCAGGCAGTTCTCTAAACCACTGAACCATCTCTCCAGCTTCTAAACAGTTTTATAGACTTCAGGAGGTTTTCTTTTTTTCCTTTTTTTTTTTTTTTCGAGACAGGGTTTCTCTGTAGCTTTGGAGCCTGTCTTGGAACCCATGCTGGCCTCAAACTCACAAAGATCCGCCTGCCTCTGCCTCCCGAGTGCTGGGATTAAAGGCGTGCACCACTACCGCCAGGCCAGGTTTTCTCAAGCCAATATAGAACATGGAGAAGAGTTGCGTGCACCCTGTATCTGAAGTAGCCCAGAACTGCTTACTTTGGTTCTGTAGATGCAGCCAGGTAAACGAAGGTAAGAACTGGGAAGAAGCCTGCTTTGGACTTGTGTGTGATAACTCAGCCATGAGGAGTACAGTCGTGCTATGCAGTTGGAGCACTATGTCAAATCCTGTCCTGGAAGCAATACTGTCAGTCTTGAATCCTTTGTACCTTTTACTATTTTTGTTTGTTTGTTGAGACAAGGTTTACTGTATCTTTGGAGCCTGTCCTGGTACTCGCTCTGTAGGCTAGGCTGAATTTGAACTCAGATCCGCCTGCCTCTGCCTCTCTAATACTGGAATTAAGGGCGTGTGCCGCCACCGCCCACTGTATGTACCCTTACTCTTTTGAAGCTTGAGGTGGAGCTGGGTGATATCTCTCAGCATTCACACATAGTAGGCCCACATTGCAGAACTCAGGCTTTCTGAGGTAACTGCAACTGCTATGTACTCTCCCCTCTTCCTCCTGAAGGCCTACAGTGTCTTAGCCTGTTGGTGCTAATAGGTCACATGTCCCTGATGTAGACTTGGCACTGGATCTTGTCCTCAGCCCTAGTCTATGTGGTGGACTTACAGTTGAGTCCAGAGTGCCATGAAGGCAAAGGTCTTTGGTCATTGATGTCCATTGTCTATTAGTGGGACATCTGTTAGGGTGCTCTTTGGGGACTCAAGAGGACTAGGGGACTAAGGTTAGAGGATAGAATTTTTGTTTTCTTGAGACAGGATTTCTCTGACACTCCTAGCTGTTCTAGAATTTGCTTTGTAGACCAGACTGGCCTTGAACTCAGAGATCTGCCTGCCTCTGCCTCCCAGAGTGCCAGGATTAGAAGGTGTGTACCACCTCCCTGAGAATAGAATTTTATTACCCCATTGGTACACTGTGGGTTCATACTCCACAGTTTGGTTCATTTGACCCAGCCTTAGGCAGCAGGGAGATGAGTGACAGTCAGGGTGCTGTCCATAAACTTTAAAGTGGGAATGATGCCGACTAGGTAGGTAGGGGCCTCAAACCTTGGGAACCGGGCCAGGAACCTTGGGTGAGGCATGGACAGTTTGTTCTCAGCACCAAGCAGTGCTTGGTGTCCTGAGCAGTGGCTTTGCTCCAGCAGCGTAAGAATTACCTGGGATGTTTTTGGGATAGAAGGCAAGGTGCTTGGAAGACACCCCTGGAAAATAGTCCCTGCAAAGTGTCAATGGTCTGGGAAAAAGATTGAAACGGGAATCCTGGGACAGACAGGCCGACTGCTGCTTTTAAGGGATGGTCAGATGTGGCACCTAGAAGCCACTGGGGACTTGAATGCCTGGCTACAGGTTTCTAATACAGATAATAAAGGCAGGGTTTCCCCTGGAGGTAGAGGTAGGGTCCCTGGTGCTCTTGGCCTAGGTGCAGACTGTTGTGTAATAGTTTTCTCCAACACTAAAGCATTTAGTTTTGCAGGTAGCTCCTTAAGGGAAGTGAAGCAAACAATTCAAAATAGCTTTAGGAAGTCCACAAAACTAACCAGATTCACTAGGCCCCTCCCTGCCACGGTAAACAATAAAGGATAAGAGTGCCCCTCACAAGCTGTTCAGCCTGAGAGCACACTAGCTCCCTGGAAGAAGCAGAAGTGAGTCAAGCTTGCTGGAAGAGATCTAAGGCAACAGTAAAGGGACCTCTCCAGACCTGTTGGTTCTGTCCACTGGCTATGCAGTGTGCTCCAGGTTCCCAGCTTTGCGAGCTGTCACCCATGCTGGGAGTGGGCTTTGATGTGCAGCTGTTGAAATCATTTCTGCTCTTATAAGTAACTTCACCCATATTCCTGTAAGTAATCCCAATAAAACGCACTGATTCACTAAGTTGAACTTTGGTAGTATTCATAAAATTTGGTCTGTTGTGGGTTCTGTATCTGGGGTGAGTAGATGTATGTCTCCCCAGAAGTTTTGTCACATAGCAGGTTGCACCAAGGCCTGCTGTTAGTTCTCCAGGCACAGAAAATGGGCCTCCTGATAGCTAGGAAAGGGTGCTAGTAGCAGAATCCTAGAGGCAGCCTGGGCCAGTAGGCCAGTAGCTGGCATCCCTGGCATGTCTCAGTCCCTCCCCCATGCTTTCTGACCAGTGAAGAATTAACTTGCTGATATTTTGCTGTTATCTTTCAAATGTTTTCTCAAAAGACAAGGGACCAGAAAGAGGCTTGGCAGGTAGAAGTGTTAGCAACCAAGCCTGAGGACCCGAGTCCAGTCCTTAGGACTCACGAGTGGAAAGAGAACCAACTCCTGAAAGCAGTTCTCAGACCTCTACATGCCTACAATGGCATGTATGCCCAAGCACACACACATATTTAAATAAATGTAATAATAAATCTGCTTCCAAAAGAGATGAAATTAGCTGACCAGTGGTGGTACACGCCTTTAATCCCAGCACTCGGGAGGCAGAAGCAGGTGGATCTCTGAGTTTGAGGCCAGTCTGGTCTACAGAGCGAGTTCTAGGGCAGCCAACACTGCACAGAGAAACCCTGTCTTGGGATGGAAAAAAAAAGTGAAATTGTACTTTAATTCTGCTTTATTCATTTTTTCCTTTTATATGGCCATTGACTAGTGACCCACAGGATGGATGAACGTAGATCAGTTTGACCAGTTCTGCAGGTCTGGCCAAGGTGTGCCATGTATGTGCTCTGCTTTGTCTTGGGCATCTTTCACAATGGTGCTTCTCTTCTGCTAAAGCTACAGGCTTGGCTGGGCTAGGCCAGTGTTTCTCAGCCTATGGGTCATGACCCTTCCACAGCAGATATTTACATTACAGTTCATAACAGTAGCAAAATTGCAGTTAGGAAGTAGCAACAAAAGTAATTTTATCTGTGGGGGGAATCA